GCCAGTTCCCCTAACAGCGGCTGTTTGCATACCTTTGGCTGAATGCCAAACCAATTTCTTGAAAACAGGCCAAGCTATGCAACAACCGAAACTGTATGCATGTCATTTCAATGTTTCTTTTCTTTTTTCTGATAGATGAAAAGCGACTGGAGACGCAGAAACGCGTGTTTCACCGATGGGTCAACCACAAAATCAAAAAGGTAAGACGACGGGCTATTTTGATTTATTGGCGTTGACTCACTTAACAGATAATTACACATTGATTAATAATTTATTGTAGGAAATACATTGTTCTCAGATGATAAGTTAGAGAATTTAGGGAGGAAGCACGGTAGTATAACCCTTAGAATATACCAACGAAAAACCAGTGGCGATGGTAATAGCGTTGCTTTTGTAGGTATAGAGACAAGTGAGAGGTCCTTGCGTGCGAAAGCTGTTTTGGCTGCGTTATATGAAAGCAGGCCGACTAAATAGTCCAAGTTTCATAAATTCGGCATTTGCCTTAAATTCCCATGCACTGTGTCATCATTATTTGGACCATGGGAACATTTGGTATTTCCAGACTAATAAGAAGTAACATCTTCTTCTAAGAATGCCATACTTTAAATACCTGATGAAGTGGCTTCATCTTCTTACTGTGCTATATAGACGATTTTTGGACAGAATAATTCGATTCAAAAACAGAGGTAACACTCCGCGAAATATGTTCACTCCACCTTCACCCCCTGTACAACGACGTCAAAATACTAGCTGTCACTCACCTTCTCTCCATGTCTTGCCGTAGTTTGTGCACACGGTATAACGGTGTCAGCAAAACTAAACTTCACGGGGGAGTAAAATTTAGAAAAAAGGACACGCAGGGGCCGCACAGAGGCCGTGTTACGCGTCATCACGGCTCTTTATCATCCGGAAATTTCGGTAGCAAAAAAACCTCCGTGGGAATGTTGTCTAGCAGGTCTCAGTGACATGCGCACTCTGGTTTGCCTTTGAGTGCGCCTACACATCAGATTCTCTGTGTAGCAATCGGTGGCAGTCAATAAACCCTGTAGTAGTCTGGGACGCTAAGCCAGGACGGAAGATGCACAAACTTCCTCCTGTTATCGACTCGCTGAAGCCTCATTTGCAGTTGGATTTACTGTTCCTGATTAACATCTACAGTTTGCGCAGGACACTTGGCTGAAGTGGGAGTGCCGATGGAATGGGCTCTTTCAATTCGGATGTTCCTCCCAGCCTGGACTTGGGGCAGGACTGACTGTGGGTGGCCGTGGGTCAACTGGAGTATCCGTGCGCTCTCTCACTCTGTTATTTTTGCTTGCATTTCTTGTGTACACAAGATCTTCTAATCGCGATTGCTGTCGACACTGAAAGCAAACCCCAGCAGCATAGCAGAACAGATGCTGAGATAAAAATGCGTTCATCACAGTTGTAGAAGGTCGCAACTTGCGAGGATAGGCCAAGGCGCGACGGCGGCCGACAGAACAAACGCCCATGAGGGCGAAAACAACACACATGGCACGGTGACAGACAGGGTAACCGAGAAGGCCGACGGCGAGGCGCCGAACACACACAGTGACTTAGCCATGATTGGTAGAACTCGCACACACAGTAAAGAAAGAGCGGTATAACGACGAGGACCATGAGCCAGAGTGTCCATTCTCTGAATATGGATAGACGAGACACCTTTCGCAGGGGGTGAAGTAAGTTAAACCCTAGCAACTGCGATCTGCAGACCATGGCTCCTTAGGAGAGCAGAGAGAAGTCAATGGGAAGGCTGCAGTGTTAGGAATAGTGTATTCTGCGAAGAAGGATCGGAGAAAAGATGGAAAGAGTTTTGAATTTCGGATAACCGTAGTCCACCTGCGAGGATGTCAATTGCGGACTGACGAGAGCGTTAGGCGCATGCTTTGTTACGGCGGCCAATCACTCGACTAATGTCTAGACTAGCGGTCATGGCGTGAACTTGAGATTGGCGAAATCTGGCGTGGGCGCGCGGGCCTCATGAGCCAAATGCGCTATATGTCAGCGGCTGATCTTGGGTTCCACGGGGCTGCTAGGGGCCACTATACACCTACCCGAAACGTCAGGCCTATACTAAACCTCTCGCGGTGAACACTCTTCTTTCTTCTGATTTACTGCCGAGGATATTAGCGGCTGGAGCTTTGCAAATAGGTATTGTACTAGTAATCATTCCACAGGAAGCCCTGTGGAAACAAGCACTGCATTTAAATAATAGTAAGTAGT